GCTTTTTTGAAATTTGATAAAACGATACGATAACTGAATTTGATAATATCGACGAAATAATTTTTCGATAACTGAATTTGATAATATCAACGAAATAATTTTTCGACAAAATATCGTGCATCTTCCGATAGAAACAATTGGTAATAAGGGTTCCTCTTACCCTAAATTTGGGATTTTTCGAAAAATTCATTTGAATTTGGGTTCTTTATATAGCTTCTTTTTTCGTATTCTGCAAAAATTTATTCAATGCACGGGGCTTTGTATCTAATTTATCGAGTCCAGTTATTTACTTAAGCTATTAAACGTATAATGATAGTTTTATTTTGCATATTAAATTTATGTATTAAGACTTACAAAGGGGTAATTTACCTCATAATCAATGCACTAAATTGTATAGTTAATAAACAAATATCGCACGCTGGAAAGAATAACGACACAACTTAATATAAAAATATTGTAAAATAACTTCGATTCCCGGAATTTAAATTATTTATAGCCGGGTGTAAATTACTATCGAATGTTAAAAAACGTTAGCATAGAACTATTCTACAAGTATATGACCAAATTTTCTGTATTATTTTGTTAGAGAAAAGCTTTGTATGTTTAAATATAATAGTAACAAAAGCAAGTTTACGACTCTGTGTTTTAACTTATGTCATTCTTCTCGCAAATGTGCGATATATTGTATCCATATTTGTACAATATTTTGTACTGTGATAAAATTTAAAATAAATTTTCTGAATTTTTCTTAATTTGTTATTTAATTATACATCATATATGCTTACAATTTTGATATATGTACACAAATATGTGTGTAATTAGCAAACTTAAATAAGAATCAACAATACGATACCTTTACAACTATAGAAAAGCATTACCGCAAATACTAAAAATTTTGTTATTACAAAACTAGAAAACTGTCACTTTTGAAATAAGGTAAGCTTATACCTACTTAAATAACACTTTATTTTTGAGAGCAATTATTTGCTAAAATTCTAGACAATAGATGCAGTAATTCAAAAATATCATAATGGCCTAATCACCTAAATGTTGCTAGTTCCGTAAGATAAAAATTTTAAAATCTATACAACAGTATTATTTCAAAATCACCCAACTATAACTGGGACTAAATCATATTAGAACGATAATTTTAAGCAACCATTATCACATTTATTCGTGTACCGATGTCGTTGTACTGTTTGTATATGTAAATGCAATGGTATGGCAATCCCGGCCACGGACTACTTTACATTTTTATTAAATAAAAACTTAAAATTTTGTAATGAATGTGAAATATTTAGGTTATTTTATTTTACTTTTTCTGTCATGTGTTGTAAGAATTTTGGTGTATGACAATTAACCAATAACTGAGAAGGGGTTTATTTTTTTGATAAATTGAAGGTCAGTAAAAATTTCCTTTTTTTTTAATGAATTTATTATTAGAAGAATTTATAAATATTTAAATATGCTGCAATTTTTCTTTTTATATGCATTTAAATATTTATTTGGACAATACGAGTATTATTGAAGAGTAGGCACCTATACGTAAATTGTATAGGTATATAACAGGTATATGAAGTATAAGTTTATATGTGATACGAATTTGTTGTTGTTTTTAAAAATTGAACTGGTTTGGAAAAATAGAATTTTGTACTTAAATTCGTGTTCAAATAATATTACATTTACATTAATGAATATGTGCATAGTTATACGATATTGTAACAAAAACCTATTACCATCATTGGAAAATATTTAATTAAATCGAGTATTATAGAAAGAGATAAAAAAAGCCATTTCAACAATAATATTGTTCATATGCGTAGTGTAATATCAAATGGCTATTCATTTGTTATATAACAAGTCCAATTATTATCTAGCATTACGAGATTATGATATTTATGTATCTTCCTAACTCGAATCAAATCGAAATATAAGAAAAAAAAGCAAATTTAAATGAAATTTTCAATTATTATTTTTTTTTTATTTTGTGTAGAACTTTTGTTCCCTAATTAGATTTAAAATTGTTGTATTAACATTCTGAATTGCAAGTTTTAACATCTATGTACGTATACAACACAAGAGACAGAAAACAAGTCCCTAAATCAATATACCATAAATAATTTAGCAATATTGGTGCACTTCAAATTTTCATAACCTATCGAGCTTTGCCCAATCTCGACTATAATCGTTAATAGTAAAATTGTATAATATTGTAAGGGAATATTAGCACATGCTGAAGGCTAAAAAATTGTAGTTTCCTATTATATAGTAAGTATCCATTTTTATACATATACATAATTTACCCGATAATTGCGAGTTCTACTTAAACTTTTTCAAAATTACCTAAATATGTATAGCTTCATACAACATACAAAGTTGGAGTCTACAAAAATTTTTTAGTATTTTTTTCAGTCAAGTTTCACGCTTCAAATGATTGGTCAATTAGTTCACTAACGATTTAATATGTTAAAAATTTTCGGCATCTGTTCTCAACGTGTTGAAAGACGAAGTAGAATAGTGAATGTGCTGTAATAGCTGCAAAATTCAGGCTAATTGCAAACTCTGTCAACTACGTATTAATAGTAGCTAGAAAAGTTTCAAATTTTTAGATTATCTGTATTTTTAATTAGCTGTTTTTGCAGGTGATTTGCCAGGATAATTTTACTAATTCCATTAATATTCCTATATCATTTTAATTCATTGAGTGCATTTGAAACTAAAAAAACTAATTAATATGGACTTTTCGCCGGGCATCGTATTCATTCGCATATAAATTTTCAATTTGCAATTAGAAAATATATTTTTACAAAATTTTCCACAATTTTCATTCTAAAATAAAATGTTTAATACATTTACAATTTTAATTATTGTTGTATTATTGATCTTGCATTTTACTCTAGGGTTTCAATATTTTCAATTTAAATTTCCGATTTAATAGGGGTTGTATTTATGTATGTACACATTATGTAAGCAAAATATATATATGCATACATGTATGTAAATGACATCCGTATTTTATGTTTATGTGTTCTCATTTCATTTGTATGTTTTTTTGCATAATGTTTTCAATACTGTTGTATAACATTTTCGTATATTTAGATATAAAAGGATATGTGAAGTACCATCAAAATTTTGAAATTCTTTTTTTATTTTGGAATTTGGAAAAAACTACCCAATGTATGCATATTCATACATATAAGGTATAAGTATAGGCTCTCAATAATTTGGTATATGTATATATTTTATTACCAAAGTTTTATATGTACGGAAAAGCAAAAATTTTTATTGTATGGCAGTTTTTATCAATTCAAATGCTTGGGGATATGCAATAGTGCAGACAAAAAAAGAAATCAATTTTGTTAAAGTATTTTTAAGTGTTTCAATAAAACACTTAAAATAATTAAACTCATCACTAATTATACCCGTACGAACGTATGTTTAAATTTGCCTTACCGTTTGTAACGCTAAGAAATAACGGTGTTAGATATAGACTCAAGTGTTTGATCAGCGTCTGAGTTGATTTAGTTTTGTCTGTCCGTCCGTCCGAACGATAACTCAAAAACTAATTGAGCTAAGTTCACCAAATTTTCACAAATGATTTATTGTAGTAAGTGCATGATTTATTGTAATAGGGTTCTGCTATTTAAATTGGACATGATGGGGGTGCCGGTTCGGGTAGCTGCCATACAACTTCAAAATTTATTTGGCTATATCTCAGAAACTATAAAAGTTGTGGTATTGAAATTTCACACAAACGAATATATTAGTAGGGCCAATGAGTCTCATGAAAGTCGTTGAAATTACTTGGCTCCTTCTGATACCTGCCATACAACTTCAAAAGTTATTTGACTATATTTCAGAAACTATAAAAGCTGTGGAATTGAAATTTCACACAGACGAATATATTAGTAGGGCCAATGTGTCTCATAAAAGCCGTTGAAATTACTTGGCTCCTTCTGGTACTTGCCATACAACTTCAAAAGTTATTTGGCTATATCTCAGAAACTATAAAAGTTGTGATATTGAGATTTCACGCATGTGAATATATTAGTAGGGCCGATGTGCTTGATAAAATTTGCTAAAATTTCTTGGCTCTTTCTGGTAGCTGCTATACAACTTCAATAGTAGTTTGGCACAACCAGTATTTTGAAAAACACATAAGTAATACTGACATTTTGCATAAATTAATATGGTAGTACGGCAACTTAAAGTCATACTCTGCCCCATAGTTAGTTATGGCACATTAGTTATTCGCACATAGGATAACAAATTCGTACGGGTATCACTGAGTTCACAAGGTCAACTCTATTTTTTTTCTCGTTTTATTTTAGGTTTATGGCAAAATTAAATACGAAATATAATACCATCTTGTTTTGCAGTTTCTGCTTAGAAAATTGGCCATTGGTAGCTTAAGCTCAGTTTGAAAAACAAAATTCTATTCTAATTTTTCTCTATATTTTTAGATATCCTCTCTATCTTCGCCATGCAAATGTTCATAGGTGATGTTAAGTGGGATATTGCAAAGAGCACATTTGATTAATAAGCCATTGCCGCGTTTTATATAAACTGCTTGCTAAATTTGATGACCTTCAAACTAAAGTCAGATAATATTTGTTTGATCAATATTTCGTTCTTTCCATTTGTTCAGTTAATTCGACCGAATCTGTTTTTTTTTGCTCAAGAATGATTTTATTTTTTTCCAAACGGAATATTCTAGCCACTTTCTTCTATGTATACATATAAAAATAAATATTTACCAGCTTGTTCATTTCTGTATTATATCCCTTTCATTCAGGATGAGTTTAATTCAATTGTAAAATTTTAAAAGAGAAAGTTTGGAAAATTACAATAAATCTACATACATATGTTGTTCTCTATATTTTGAATTTTCTTATGTATTTTCTTTTTTTAAAATTGACAAAAAGCTTACTTTAAAAATTTAAAAAAAAATTTGAAAATTTACTTTATAAATTCTTTACTTACATACATACATATTTCAGGAGGCCAAATGTGATTTTAAAAAATTATTAGCAACTAGTGTAGAAAAAATAAAGCAATCAGCACATAAATTAGGAAATGCAATCGAAGCAGCAAGACCGTATTATGAGGCACGGCTTTATGTAACACAGGTAATTTACTTATTTTGACTTCACTATAAATTATAAGCAGGCTCAACTTATATATAGGCTCAACTTATGAGCGCATAAATAACTGAAAATAAATTCTCAAATTTTTCTTTATAGCTTTCTAAGGAAACACAATTGGCACAATTAAATTATGAAAAAGCGAAATCAGTACATGCTGCAGCCAAAGAAATGGTAAATTTAGCTGAATTAGGTGTAGGTGAAAGTTCGACTTTAGATGCAGCATGTCAAGAGATGTTAAGTCATGCAACAAGTAATTTTATAATATCAATATTTTACTAAAATTTCTAATAAATTCTTTTATATATGTACATATTTGAAAAATTTTTTAAGGTCGAGTTCATGAATCACAATTAGAAGTAAGTGATGCAAGAAATTTTTTGAAAATCTGTGAATTAAAGCAAGAAGTATCAAATAATCGTGTTACAAAATTACAAGCGCAATTAAAAGGTGCAATAAAAGCGTCGAGGTGAGATTATTAATAATATAATTTCTCTAATCTTTATGGAACTAAGTATGGAATAAGAGAAGATTTTGAAATTTATTTTGTTATAGATAATTTTTGATTACTTTTTGCTTCTTTTATAATTATTCTTTTTATTATTTTTTCTTTTTTAAATTTGACAAAAGTTACACCTGCACTCTTTTAATGGGCAACACATGATGCTTTTTTTGACGTTCTATAACTAATCACATTTAATTTAAAAGTTCATAGTTTTTACAAAGTTAAAAAAATTACTTTTTGATGAAAATTTTTTAAAATATAATTAAGCAGTTAAATTCAATAAAGTTTTAAACCTATGGTTTGTAAAATAGCACTTTTTCCGTTCAACAATTGAAATAAACAATCTCTTATATTTTAAATTACTTTCATCCACACACCAAAATATTTTAATTTATTGCATATATTTAGGATGAGACAAGAAAAATTGAAAGATACGTTAACATAGTGGTCAAAATCAAGAGTTAATTGCGTGGGTTACGATAAATACTTATATTTTTTGATGGTGTGGCATTTATCATCAGTTTTTATAGAAAATTATAAAAGCTTACAGTTTAGGAAATATGTATGTAAGGTGCCGAAAACTCAAATATTAAAAATTTCGAGAGACAATGACTTTAGAGTGGATGAAAGTGGAAAAAATTTTATTCTAACGAAATAAACTATTAATTAGTATATTTAAAAGGCACAAAAATTTTAGGCTCCTAAAACTTATCGTCTGGAGGAGCAATATCAAAAATGTGGAAAAAACTTGTTGAAAACAATGCCATGCCGCAGTGAAAGAAGTCAGTAACTACTTTTCTGAGTAGGATACAAAAAATGATTGTGGTATTTTACTTTACAACAAACATTCAAAGGATTTTTGGGACTTTTTCGTCTTGGTTATAACTTTTTGAATGGGGAAGATAGAGAACAATTTTCTTCTATAGAAATTAGTCTCTAGTTAGGATTTATTTATATGTAAAATTTTAACTTTCTATTTTAAAAGGTGTAGAAATTTTGTAAATAGACACACTGACAAACGAGCAGAGTGAAATTATTAAGCACTTTTCAAAATTTTTTTAAAGAATACTTAAACTTAACAAACTTAATATTTGTGTTGCTTTTTACCTGAACAAAATTCTTTTAAGTTTGTTTATAAAGCATTGTTTGTGTTTTTTACATTATTTTCTTTGTTTTTACATCATAAGGAAACATTAATAATTGCAAATTGTTATACAAAATATAAAATATTTAACACTTTACATATTTTTTATGAAAACGTTTTGCAAAAGTTTTTTATTTTATAATTTATAAATTTTAATTTTCTTTTGTATTTTTCTGTTAATTTAGTAACAACATTCGAAGAAACTTACTTTTATTGAAATTATTGGCTTACCAGCATAATTTATTGATTTTGTAAGTAGTTATAATTTTCTTTATTTCGGTTCTAATTAATAATTTTGTTAGAAAATGAATTCATCCTAAACTATATTTCAATAAATGAGTAATTATTTATTTAAATGAGAACACAAATACATAAAAAATTTTAAATTAGAATTGAAATTAAATTTATCTTAAATATTTGCATTGTTTTAGGCCATATTATGAGACGAGGGCGAATTATAATGGACTTTTAAAGGCACAAAAAGAAAAGATCGATTTACTTGAAAATCAAGTTGGCGAAGCAAAAATGACATATAATGAAGCGTTGAAAAATTTAGAAAGAATTTCTGAAGAAATTCATAAGCAACGGCAGGAACGTTTAAATTTAAATAATTTAGCAAATAATTTTGGCGATAATCATCGTATTGATTGTAGAATGGCAGCTAATATTAGTTTACAACCATTACATTCTGGTTTAAATCGTATTACATTAGATGATGATGAAGATGATGACATATCAGCAAATTCAATTGATGATTCATATCGTATATCATCATCAAATCAACGTAATAATTTATATTATACAAATCAAATTGATTGTTGTGATGAATATTTAGATTTACCATCAAAAATTACATATAAATCAAGCCCTATAAAAACAAAAAATTTTGATGAACATGATTGTCCACATTTATTACAAGATTTTCCGCATCAGAGGCAACAACAACATTTGTATCAAAATGAACAAAATCAACATGAATCCCATCAAATAGTTCAATCTACATCAGTTTTTTGTTGTAACAGTGAATCAAATATTATAACTAATAATACAAATAATTATACAAATTTAAATAATATAAATCGGCTCAGTTACTATACAAATAATAGTGATGATGATAAAATTAAAGAAGCATCTTCATCTGGTATATCAAATGATGTTGATGATATTGAACAATGGACTGAAATTCGTTTATCAAATTCGAATAGTTCAAGTTCAGGTTATTCACATCATGAATCCTCAACAAATTTTGATGAACAGAATTTAATGGGTTTAAGTGGCTGTGGTGGAATTGGTATGATTGGTGGTGGTGGTGGTAGTGGCGGTAGTGATACTTCAGAAAGTGAAGAACATCGTAAAGTTACCTGTACAACAATTGTTTTTAATGATGATAATAATTTAGATGGTATTATTGGTGATAAATCATTTTCTAAGAAAAAAGGAGAAAATAATAATGGTGGTATAACATCATGGATATCTAGATCAAATAGTTTTAAAAGCTCTGGAAGACGACAAAGTTTAGATTTATTAATTGATGCTAGTGATAAAGTAGCAAGTGTTTTCCAAAAAGTTGGTAAATCATTAGAGCGTAGGAATAGCGAATCGGAAGTAAATAATGAACAAAATGATTTCTTTTCATTTACAAGGTATTTTTTAATTTTAATTTTATTATATCAATTACTTTATTTAATTTGCAATGTATATATTTTAGGTCTGACAAAGAATTATTGTCCGATGAGCAAGTTGAAAATTTAAATTTAAATGCTAGAGAAAACGAAATCCTTTATGGCAATGAACTCATGAATGCATCTAAAAATAGACTAAAGAGTGACATATCAAAGTAAATTTGCTTAAAAGATTTAGTTGAAAATGACGATGTAAAAAAAAGAAATATGTACTTAAAATTAAAAGAAACACAAGTCTACCAGTAAAACATAGGAAAACTAAAACTTCTCTTAAAAAATTAAGCAAAAAAACATTGAAATCAAATCACTTTTTGAAAAGCCGCAAATATTAAATATTTTTTATTAATTGGCAGAATACTGTACTGATAGTATTGAATGAGGTTTAAATTAAATTAGAATGAAATAACAATTTGTTGTAATACTAAATAATAATTGAATTGCATTAAATTTAAAAATAAATAAAACAATTATGAATTGGATAAAATAAACATTGAAACAAGTAACTATAACTACAATTTACACAATTGTTACAAATCATCAATGTACGTAAATCATTTAATATTAATTACAATTCACATAATTTATTTTAACAGTTTAAAAGAAACCTTGTTTATTTTTGTAAGAATAATTTTATAATTTATAAATGAAATGTAAAAAAGGAGCTTTGAATAACACACTAAAATGACAAGGAATTTAGTAGAAATAATTTAGGAGTTTATTTAAATTGGCATAAATATGTGGTGTTAGACCAGATATTTTTTAAAATGATCAATTTTTCCGCCAAAGAAACTAAAATTAATAGTGTTTAATAAGAAATTGTAGGAAAGAAAGCATTAGTCAAGTTATTTATTGATGTTAAGACTTATATAAATTATGAAAAAATTACATTCAAGATTGTATAATTTGTTGATTTAATTATAAATAATATTTAATTGTATTTAAATATTGTTAAATTTTGTAATTTTGTTAAACACAAATTTTTCCCTACATGATAAGACTCTTTAAGTTAAAAATTTATTAATTAATCCAGTTAAAAGACCTTTCTTAAGGCTTGTTTTAGTAGTTTTAAAATTCAAGTTGGCAAAAATGAATTATTCCAAAAGGCGATTAGCAAATTACAAAAAAATTACTTTTATTTTTTAATTATTTTGAATTTTATTTTTTAATTATTTTAAAAAAATTGCTAAATCTATTTTGATTACATAATTTCAAAATTGTAAAATCATTTAAAAATTAATTGTTAAAATTTAATAAAATTTTCTTGTACCTAATTGAATTATTCAAAATTTCACAGCAATATTAGTAATTCTAATTGAAATGAGGCTGAAATGAAATTTTCATATAAAAAATTTTTTTATTTGTTAATTGTAAAAAATTATGGCTGTTTCCCAGTACATAAAATGCGTGCAACTGATTTAAATTATGAATTCCAATGCAACATGACTAACGATTCCAATATATGTATGTATATTGCCAGGGTAGCTGATTATTGTGTATTCTATTTTTTTTTGCATTTCTTTTTGCAAAATAATTAAATTTATTCATTTTTTGCAAAACAATTAATTTTTTTTTGTGAAAATAGTTTATTAAATATTTTGTGTGTAGTTTTCGAAGAATTTAATAAAAAATATTGTCATGAAAATAATAAGAATGTCATAAAAAGATGACAATATTGTAATTTGTTATCATCAAGTTATTCTTTTTAAATCAGTAACAAACTCTTCCAATGAAATTTTTTTAAGTGTATTCATTTTAATTTGGAATTTTTAGACTTTCCTGTTTATTGAAATAATTTTTAAAATATCAAAATGGAAAATTCTTTAATTATAGAAGCATAATTCTAATTTACAAAGTCAAGTGAATGACATGAGTGATATGATTATCAAATCTTTGACATATTGGGAAACAGCCTATAACTCATTAGTCCCTGTTAGATATATTATACGAAAATTTAATTTATACGAAAAATAAATTAGAATTTAACCGACTTTTTTTATTTACTCCACATAATTTCGAAGGAATTGATTCAGTACACCTATAGTAACTATATAATAAATTTATAGGAATTTTCTTATGTGGGAATTTAAGAATGCTAAATGAAGTGCACTATTATTGTTATTACATTAAAAATATAGTGTCTTTGGTGAAAAATCACAAAAATGTAGATCTGTTGCACTATAAGTTGCAAAGAAAATTTGATTTTCTAAAAAAATGCAACACTTTATAAGAAGAATGTATATAAATTCAATTGGAAAAGAATCGTAAACAAATTTACTAGAGTATAAAGTCGGTATAAAGTCAGTTGATAAAAAAGAACAATAATTAACTCTTTAAATAAAGCAATAAATTAAAAAAGAAATAAAAATAAACAATTAATAAAAGAAACAATTCGACATTCAAACTAAATCAGGCAAAATTGAAATAAATTTTTTTTCTATTAGTGTTTAAATTAAAATATTAGCGAATTTTCATTGTATTTCGTTATTTATTATGTACTATTATATTAATTACATACATATATGAGTAAAAATGTTAAAACATTAAAAGTGAAGTATATATATAAATATAAGCATAATTAAGTATTTAATTTATTTACAAAACACATATTATATATCTATATGTATATTTACAACATGTAGCAATATAAAAATAAAATTTAAGAAGAGATGAATCAGAAAATGTTTAAAATAAAATACAGTAAAAAAGACAAACAACGGAAATTGTTTTAGTTAAAAAAGTTGGAAATGAATAATAAAATAAAGTATGTATCTAATTATTAAACAAAGACAGACATAAATCTTACAAGGTAAGCATGTAAATTTATAATAGTTATGTTAACTTGTTAAACCATTGTTAACATATTCGAGTGAGAAATCTCTTCAATAAACTTTGTATTAGAACATACTTACTAGTCTATTACAAATTCTTTAAATTTGAAAACATTGAAAATTTATAATACAGTCTTGAAATTTTTCAAAGGAAATTACCTCCCCATGATACAAAAATAACTACTGAAAAGTCAATACCGAACATAATATGTATGAATGCATGTATTTTTCTTTCCAAAATACAAATTATCCAAATTACAAGATTAAAAAAGAAGGAAAATCTTTCGGAATAGTTGAATAAAGTAGTGACAGCATGTGCGAATATTCTTACAATTTTCTATCACAAGTTTTTTACCAGCTACGCGTTATTCGTAAAAACTTACCCAATTATAATTTTTTTTTTTCCAGCATGGAAATGTATAATTTGAGTATGTTAACTGATTTTGATATTAACTAATTTTATCTCAATTTTTTTAAGAGAAAAGTTAAAACAAAAATATATGCATACACTTCCCAATTAGCTTTCGAACATTTTCAGGAAATTTCAGAAAAGAACGCAGCTTAAAGAAAAATTACAAAATTGATCACTGGAACAAAAAAGCAAATTAGTTAATTTTAAAAATGACCACTAGGGTATATTTATTTACGGCTGAATACTGTAATATGATTTTCATTTGTCAAACATTATGATGTAAATAAAAAATCATATTCAGCAATTTTGATTGTCATAATTTTTGATGCATCTGTTTGATATTTTGTTGTGTTTTTAAAATGTCAATTTTGTTTCCTATGTAAAGTAAGTTACTCTTAAAGTTATATTTGAATTTTTAATAAAACATGTTTGTAATAAATGTCCAAACATCATTTAAATTCCCCGACAAGTATATTCACAATTCAATTATGTTTGGTTTTCATTTAAATCATTCACAGTTTAGAAAATTTTTAATATGGAAACTTGGTAAGTTTTTTACTATTTAGGAAAACTTGTTCTAACCAAAATTCAATTACTGACAATGTGAATATGGAATTATTGAAAACAGAAATTATTTTATATGTATGTAATTAGAACAAACTATATTTGATTGTATAAAAATGTAAAAATCAAAAACTATTTCATACACAAATTATTTTTAGAAAATGTACTGTTAACTCTTTTAAATGGTTCTTTAGATTGATAAAACAAGTAAGAAATTTGACAGTGTTGCCAATTAAAATATTTATGATGTTCTTAAATAAATGCTCACGTTTCAATATCTTTATCAGAATTTTATAAAAAATTAAGAATTTAATTTAAATTTAATGTTTAAGTTATGTTTTTTTTTTATTGTAACGAAATAAGTGATCGATTTTGCAGGATGATTACACACATATATAATAACGTAATACATTATGTAGTTTATTCTCTCATACGAATTATTTAATATATGTGAAATTAATTATATAATTGCGAAATATGTATGTATATTGCGAAATAATTTATATGCTAATTTTTTTGTGTATATACTCTTATTTTTACATTATACATATTGCTTGCTCTATCAAATTCGTTACTTTTCAATAATCCAAAAATATTAAAAAATGGATAACAGGAAGTTATTTTTTTCTGAAAAAGCTTCTGAGTTTTCGAGACCCAATTTGTCAGCAATTTATCGGCAATTTATTTATACCTCTGTAGCTCAGGTTTGTAGAGCGTCCGTCCAAAAAGCGGTAGGTCCAGTTCGAGAAAAATTTTTTAATTTTTTTGCCTTTAACTCGTGCCTTTTATTATGTGATCAACCTGTTCTGCAGTTGCATGAAAAAATTTCCATTAGTTATTCCTTGAGACCCTTCATCTTATATATCAGTATATGTACCTACCTAATACCTATTTCTTATGCAAAATTTTCCAAATTTTAAAAATCTTTATTTCACCGGTAAATCTTCTTTTTTGGCGGCACTAGCAGAAACAGTAAAAATTTTATTGTGAATGCGAAAAGATAAAAAAATTTCCCTAAAAATGTTCGAACAAAACAGAAAAACAAGTTTGAAATTTTTTTATAGAATTTTGCTTTGTATTTCTTGTTTTGTTTATAATTTGTGTTTGGTTTGATTTGATATATTAACTATTAAGAGAATAAAATTCTTCTAATGAGAATAAAATTTGTTTTCTCTCATTACATTTTAAAAAATCTGTTTTATTTTCTCTTTATCTGTCAAAATAATTAAATATGTTTCTCTCAATTTGATTTCATTTCATAATATGTTATTCTCATAAATTTCAGTCTTCTGGCAGTTTTTAAAGCGTTTAGTTGTGAAAAATTTGTTTTCAATTCGCATGGCGGAATCTAATTAAAAGAAAAAATTAAAATTAAAAATAGAAAAAACATAAAAATTTTAACGATTTTGAACTAAAAATTATAATATTATTTTTTTTTAAAATTAATTCTCTAATAATCGATATTATTTTTTAATGTTTTAAAATTAGAATTTCAAAATTATTGTATTTTGTGAATGTTTTTTATGATACAAGAGTGTTAACTTTTTTTTTGTTAAAATTTTTTTAAATCAAATATTTAAGGTATATACGTACATACATAAATGTATATTATTTTATTTTTTTATATCAAATACATAAGATACATAATTGTATATATATATATATATAAAATTTTATATTACATTATATATTTTGTTTTAACTTGCTGATTACATGAAAATTTCAATCAAAAAAACATAATCGATTTATTTTTTAACAATGTAATAAAATATTATTGAATAATTAAGTTTTTTTTTGTTTTGTGTTCTTTTAAAAATCGAATTTTAAAATTAAAAGTATTTTAAAATATTATTTATGAGCAATAATTAAATTATTTATTCGAAAAATAAGAAAAAAATACTTACCTACCATCTATCGTTTAAAAAATTTGGTGTTATGTTGATTATTATGTACATACATATATACATATATTAAGTGAATTTTACTCTCAAATAATAAAAAATTTTATGAGAAAATAATTGTTGATTTTAATTAAACTATAATTATGAAAATATAATAAACAAGTAAATGTTAAAAATAAATTATGTAGAACGAATCAAAATTAAAAAAAAAATATCATGTGAAGTTTAATGCGATTGTAAATTTGATTATTAGCACCAAGGTACCTGTCTCTACCTACAATATGTACTCGTATACTTATTTAATTTTTTATTTTATCAGATATTTTTGTAATTTTACTTTTTTTTATGTTTTAATTGTATAGTGATGGCTGGCGCTACTGCTATGCTAATGAAATCCTATTCCTTTTTTTAATGCTGTCAAAAATTCTTAAAATTACCCTATTCCATATGCAATGTAATTATCATAAATAAAATTATGTGTGAAACTGAAAAAAAAACATCGCGTCGAAAACCAAAGAATATCATAAAAAAGTCTTTAAAAATACAAAAAGACAAGAAAAAAAGCCGTTCAATTTCTCTTTCTCATTGTTGCTATTTTTTTCTTCTCTCTCTCTCTGAAATTACATTATTTTTTATTACATCATTATTAATTCTCTTTGATTATTAAAAATGTCTCTTACTGCACGCACTGACTGAATTGAGTGTTGTGCTGAAATTGACTTATGTCATTTTATTTTTATGCTGTGCTCTTGTTTATTCTTTTCTTCTTTCGTCCTATCTGATTGTTGTCTATATGTTGCTATAACATTACAACATAAGAAATGAAACATTCCATCATCCTGATGAGAATCTGACGAATATTAAATTACATTTTAGTTTTAATAACTACAACGGTACAGAAACACTTATTAGGTCTCTAAATGATTGCGATTGTGTATAATTAATAATTAATAATTCGGTATTTTATTTTTATAGTGTTTACATTTGAAATTTTATTTTTGGAATTTTAAAATTTTAATTTTAAATTTTTGTTTAACAGAATTTAAGAGTTAATATTTATTGTAAAAAATTTATAAATATTAAAAAAATAATAATAATTAAGCAGTGAAATATTAAAAAAAAAAAAATTTGAAAAATCATCTAAATTTTATCCAAAATTTTTAATTATGTGTATATAATTATTAAATGTGTTATGTGATTGGTGTATTTGTAAAAAAAAAAGTTCAATCAATTTTTGGTGCAATAAATTCAAAATTTATTTAAATATAGAAAATTATTTGCTTACTACTGTAAAATTAAATTAATATTAAAACAGTAAGATAGAAGAATTAATTGGATATTATTGTGAACGAACGTTTTTAACATCAAAAATACCAGAATTTTCTAAATGGATAGAAAACTGGATTGTATAATAAAAAATCAATTTTATTGACAACAAGAAAAAAAGGTAAACAATTTTTGCAATATTATTTTTTATTTTTGTTTTAAAATATAATCAGGTCTGTTTTGTAATTATTTGGACTATAAAAAGTCTTGCTGTTAAGGCTATAATTATATGCAACTGAAATATAAACATAAACAGATTCTTTTGTACATAAGTACCTACTTATTTATTGAAAATATAACAAATTATTGAGTGGGTTTATATAGCTTGCCATTTAATTTGGTTTTGTATTAAAATTCAGTGCAAATTTGTTATTTGTTCACAATTAAAAACGCTGTGTACTCGTATGCAGAGTGCAAATAATCTTTGCAAAAAATTTAATGGAGGTAATTTTAAAATTATCTCCATTATGTAGTTAATTGGCGCCCAATAATAAATTCCAATTTGAAATCAAATAAACCTTTATTCTAGAGTACCGGATTAGGTCTTATACTTTCTTAGCTCTTTCCTAGAAAACCGGTATTATTGAACGTCAAAATTTTTTTAATCCCATAACATTATGCTATAAATGAAAATATACCATA